ATCCCACGGTCCGGTTTAGCCGAGCTGATGAGTGCTGCCAATTTATGGACATTTTTGAATGCCAGGTGACGTGCCGCATTTTAGGGTAGTCGAGGTGCGCAATTACATTATATCTGTAAAGCATTTATGAGAATCAATCAGCTATGAAAGCTCTGTCCTATAAAGAAAGGAATCACTGCATGTTTTTAGGTCGTGTTTTATCTTTGGCGTTTTATGGGGTTATTTTGGCCCGATGCGATGCTAATGCTCTTCCTGCCAAAGCATTCTCCCAAATCAGCATATTTAATGAGCACATTGTGTGATACCAGTATCGGGTAAAGGAGCATTCGGCGTCAACGGAAAGCCTGGGTCACGTCGTTGCTTGATGTTGCCAACTTGTTTTATCCTACTGTGCTGCAATTTGTTAAGCGGACTAGCAGCGTGTTCATAAGAAAAACTTGGCGGGTGTATTATCGGTAACCTGAAGAAAGTTTTGTCCTTTGAAATCTGAGCATATAGGCGATGTTAATAAACAAACATCGGCATACACACAAAAATCATCAGCACCTTTCATATCTACATACATATGATTGGAGAAAAACAAAGATTCTGATATCGCCAGCTGTTGAAATGATCGAAAACCTACCGTTGAATTTTTTGAAAACCCGATCCATGGTGATAAAGAAACCTTGGGCTGGATTTTCCCTATCCGGAAAAATGTACTGTATTCCTCTTTTCTGTCAATTTCAAAACTGAGTTTGCATGTCTTGGTCACTCGCCATTAAGTTGAGGATCGCTCTGTGATCCTGGTTAACGGTTGCAACTTGTGTACAATGTTCGAAATATTAAATGAAATTCGATAGGTTTTGGAATGTTTTCGAGCCTGAATTTTTCACTATTTGTGAACCTACGTCTAGAAAGTTTTGCTTTCCAATCCAAAAATTCAGAGCACAATCCAACACTATCAATTTACCTCCCCCTGGAAAGGCTCTTCAAGAGGCGTGGGTGTGGGGTCGCTGCTCCGCCGGTTGAGGGTCGGTGAGCATAGGTCATTCAGCGTCCTTCCGCCACGTGACCTGGTGCTAGGTACCACGGCCCACGTCAACTGGTGACAACGAGCCCGCAAGCAACGCACCAGGAATCACAACGCGAAGCTCATCGTCCAGGATATCACGAGCTTTGCGAGGCCGTCAAAATTCTGGAAATGCCAAGCGGCATACCAGGCCGATTAAACTCGACTCAATACCCTTCATGTGTCAGTGTCGAATACGTTCCGCCACTGGCGTACCGTGAGAATGAATAACAAAAATATCGTGGCCTGTGGATCCTCTTAGACCAGGACCACCACGTCTTGACCCTGTAAGTGAGCTGTGCTAATGTGGGGAACGCCGTTCCTCTCTCATCACGCCCGCGGTGTCAAGCTTCTCCGAACACACCGACGGTAAAACAACCATAGCGGTCGCGGAAATAATGGGTTGTTGTGCCTTCAAGCTTTAGCGGACGCCGCCGCTGAGCGACAGTCTTCGAATCGAGCATTCATAAAACGGGTGTGGTGTACTTCAGTCTAGCAGTAGTGCTCTTCAGTCGAGCTAGCTCTTACAAAGTAACTCCAGTGTCCGCGAGGACATCTGACGAGCAGACTCTCACAAACGGGCTCAACACGCTTCCTTGCGAAACGGTCAGCCGGTCGGCCACAGCGCCGGTCGGCCACGGTCGCGGCAAGTCGGCCACACACCGTTACGGCGGGCTGCCTTGCAGTCGGGGCCGGGGCCGGCGGGACTCGGTTCCGATGTGGGTCAACTGAACCGGACGCCGCGCTCGCAAGAGCCGGCCAACTCCGGTCAGAGACCATCCGCGGGTCAACAAACGCCCGCAGCGACAGCGCCGTCGCGGTGAGAATGTAACTCGTCGGACGCGATTCGCCCCAGCTTTGGCCGCCATTCTTCGTTGGCCGTGCCGACCACGACGGTGTGGTCCCACAGTCTCCTCCGCACAGACAGAGCCATAGTATGCCGAGTCTGAGACTCTCCGGCGGCTCCCGCGTGACTCCTCCGGCCGTGACGCGACGGCCGCTCCGCCACGCGGCGTCCGGCCTTCCGCTTCCGCCGGCGGCCGGCGGCGGGCTTCCCGTCGTTCTTTTTGCGCACCGGCGGACAAAGGCGCGCCGCTGACGGCGTGGAGTGAGTCAGCTGACGTCCGCGGCGTCGCTACAGCCGGCTCTCCCAGTGGTGGCTGGGATGGCGGAGACGCCGGTCGCCGCTGACCGTTCTCAGCACGCCGTCTCGGGCGCCGAACGGGACCGGGCGCCGGCCGCCGGCCATCTGGTCGCCGCTTTGGCTGTCGGCCGGCACGTTCGGTGGCGTCTTGGGACCGCTTTTTGTGCCGGCTCGCGTCCCGGAAGCCTGCCACCGGCGGCGCGCCGGCCAGAGGTCGCCGACCCCGGGGCAGGTCAGCGTGGCCGAGCGCCGTCGCCGGTGGAGTGGTCGGCGTCGGTGCTGTACTGCAACGCGCGACCCTGGGAGGCCAGATCCAGGTCAGTTGGCGCTGCCTGCGCGACTGGGGTTAGGCGGTTTCGCAGAAGTGGTTAGTGAGCTTCGCGATGCGAGGAAACAACTGAAACCGGCACGTGTGGGGTACGGTTCAAGTCATTTGTTGTTCATATCATGTGTTACGTTGACTTAAACGATAGAGATCCCCTGTCGCGTGCATAGGAACTTGCCCGGGTTCATCACGCGTGTACATAGTTAACTGACTGTTGGAAAGAAGTGAAAAATACTAATATTCGTATCAATGAAGAAGGAATAAACGAATACTGAGACATCACATTTGAGAAACATCCTTCGGAAATAAATGCAGGCAAACGAACATTATCGCAAACGAATACGTAGGAGTCAGTGTTTGTTTTTCCCATTGCTCACATTACCTTAGCACACTGCTTCGAAACTGCTTTTGTGGCAAAATTTATATCGAGAAATGTGGATTCAGTGGTTTTTTTTCCTATGAAATGTGCGACACGACTGATAAAAGGTTTGAATTCTGCGTTATTCACTTACCGCTGAATCTATATAGGTCATCTCAATTAGGACAACATATTGGTTCAGGAATCCCCACAATCCCATGCCGCGTCTGTGGGTGATATAGTTCCCTGGTGTTTATCTAGACCTTTTCATCGGCGACCCTTGAGTTCGCTGTTCAACTTCGTTGAATGACCTTGCTACCTGTAGGCTGGTGTCACCAGTGGCGCGAACAGGTTTGTCTATGCAAAAATAATGCTTCCTTCTAAATGCCAGGGGCTTGAATCACTGGACCACACAGGCTCCGGTACCATCAGCGCAGACAGAAACCTTCAAAAATGATGGTGTAACGAATCATAAGAACCAGGAAGCTGCACATGGTATGATGAGCACAGACAATTGGTGCCTGATGGAAGCACCTGTTCCCGATCGGCTCTGCTGGTTACGATGCAGTCATGACCTCGATGCTTGCCAGAAGTCCCCTGGCAGCACGGCTTATCTTAAAGACGTGCTTTGCTCTTTTACGTGTACGTTTAATTGTTTTACCCTATGTTGTAGGATATGTGAGTGCTGATATAAACTGATAGTCATCCCCGATACGCTTGGCGTTTAAAAGGAGAGCCAGCACGCCACGTTTTCTTGTTCCTTTAGCTATGCAGGTTTTTTTAGGTGCTACCTGGGCCATACATGCGTCAGAAACATGTATCGCGCCGCCATATCCAGACCAATGTTTGTTTACGTCTACGTCACCATAGGGCCATGCCAAACTTCAACGTCAAGTATGTGTTTGTGGGAGGGGGTGGCGATGGGGCTTGAGACTCCCTTGGGTGCAAAATTCATGTTCGAGTCCACTTTAAATCCATATTGCCGATGATTGTTTCGTTGTACCTCGTCGCACTGCAGCATGTGCTCTGCTGGCAAATAGCATGCGGCGGTGTTACCACGCAAGGCAGAGATGTTTCATCGCGTGCAGTTAAGTTTGCGCTTGAGCTCTTTGTAAGAAGATGTCGTGACAACCCTTTTTAAAATAGCAATTTGGCGCTGCAATACTGATCACGTACATACAGTACACATGTCTCCGTCTGTATTGCTAATGCGTTCGGCAACTTAAAAAGGCCAGGCACGAAAAGGTCGTGTTTTGCTGACGCGCTCCTAGCGACAATGATTTTCCTGTCGACGCTTTCAATGCCAAGTACGTAAACAAAAAACCAGTCCAGGCAGCAAGTGAACACCGGCTAACCAGCAGTTAAAACTGGCAGCAGCTCGCTTTCTGGTAGTTAAAGAGGCAAAAAGCGGACAGGTGCTGGTCCGGCCACAGAGGGAGATCAGTCTGATTGGCGGACGCCACTAGATCCTGTTATTTCCAACCGTTCGTCAAAACTCAGTGGTAGGGATCTCCACCTGAGTCAGCGCAGGTGCCCGCGTTGCCGGGTTTTATTCTTGGGTTTGCTGTCTGCCCATTCACACGTCATCAAGAGAGCATGCGCTGGTTTTATCGACCGCATGAGATGCATTCGTGGCATAACGTTTCAGATTTGCCCATTTGGCCAGGTTTTAATAGCTAGATGAAGCAGGAATAAGACAATTAAAGGTGTTGCCTTTTTTAATGGCTTAAGCAGCAGAACCTTTGTCTTGCTACGCCTCACATGTGTGGCACGCATTTCCAATGAGATATTTGTGTATTTTCCGCTGGTGCTTGCTCGAAATGGCTTTCTTGAACCGGAAATCTGGTACCTAAAACAAGTGTGCTGTGATTTCTAGCCTCACGTGGTTTTACACCAGTTGCCATGATCAGCTCTGTCACCAGACAAGTCTCTAACCCGAGACCGGGGCCCTGCAAGGACGAGCTTGAAGCCTTCCCCGTCTGTATCGCCCCGAGGTGTAGCAGAACACCCAGAGGTGCAGCGGAGCGCCCGCAGGTGTAGCAGAACACCGGCAGGTGTAGCAGAACACCCGCAGGTGTAGCAGAACACCCGCAGGTGTAACGCCGGCCACCTTTTCTTACAGATGATGCGACGTGAACAGGTGCTGGGCCTGGCCCTGCTGAGCCTCATCAGCACGACCATGGTCATGCCCGTCTACGCCCAGTCGGCGCAGGACCACTACGCCGCCCGGCTGCACCGCAAGTTCATCAGCAAGCCCAACAACATCAAGAAGCAGGGTTACTATCCCCCCGACGTGCAGATCATCGAAAAGGTAAGGCATCACCGAGCATACAGGAGAAATGGAAGGGGCTTTGTCTGTGAGACAGCTTATGTCGCATGGTTGGCAGCGATTCTCGGCATGTGCGAGTAGACATGTTTGCGTCAATGTCATGAAACAGCAGCACTGCCCCTTAACACCATCAAGTGACGTATCGGAGGTTGAGGTCAGCGCTCTTGATATAAGCAGCCATGAGTTCCCTGAAGCGCGATTAGATGTTCTGCATCACGTTTCCTGATCGCTCGTTTCGGGATCATATATTGCCCCTTAATTGGCCATCGTCTCCTGCACAAAACACTGAGACGATTGCACCAGCAGTTCTGACGACAGGTGGTGCAGGCACTTGAGAGCCGGGATTACAGCCACATGTCGTTAATGTGTGTCTGGCATTTATGGCGGTGAGTTCTTGAAGCCGACACAGCCCCCATCAGTCGTTTGCACCTCTGCCAGGGGGGAAGGATCCGTCCCTTACACCAACGCGTCACTGGGCCGTCCCGAGACTGGGCCGTCCCTTAGTCTCGGGACCTGGGCAGGATCCAGCTAACAGCATGAGGAGATGCGGGAGCCAAGTCAGTAGGAATCTGCGGGATATCTGTGGGGTGAGTTTGCCTAGGGCCAAACTCGCTGTGATGGAAGTTAAACTTTTCAAGCGCGATTGACCCGGACCGTTTGTGATACGGCGCCTTGCCGCCCTGCAACCTGCCCCAACTGCTGGAGTGGGATTAGATGTGCTTTTACAGCAATGATCTAAACTGTAATTGTGATGGCGTAGTTATCTAGAACAAGCATCACTGAATTCGCGGTAGACATTCGCGTACGAGAGCTAGAAGTGGCGAATGCATTGTATAAGGTGAGACATCCCGGTCGTAGGTCACACAGCAGGGTAATCGGCGGACAATCGGCGGATGCATACCTTCGTCGCCACTGAAGATAAAGTATCGCGTTAAAGCCATTCAAGCGGAACCCGAAACCGCGAAACCGCATTGCCTTGTGTGTGCTCGACGCGCGAAACCGCGCACGCTCTCGGAGACTGCCGAGCACATGGTCGGCACTAAGCCAGTGACACCACCCCTCAAGGCGCCCAGCGCCCCCACCTCCCGAGGTCGCTAAAAATGAGGTCCTCCGGGAGATTACCCATGGCGAGCGGGATAGTGATCCAGGCTGTGACTGGCTCGGCGACCCCGTGCATGCAACCGCCGGCAACCTCTGTCCGTGTTGATTTGCAGAACTCGAAAATGATGCTTTCGTGAAGGCGCTCTGGGAGGTACAAGACATTCCTTCTGTCGCCTGTTGCCAGGCGCAAGTTACCGGACGTCATTGGCCGGCTCAAAGCAATGTAAAAAGTTTTTTTTTTAAAAGAAATGCAATGTCAGGCCTAGTCTTGTCTGTTCTACTGACCTTGCGCCAAGTGCAGTATATCATGTTCACTTGGGTATAATTACATAATTTTTTGCCTTGCAAATGGTCCTTACTTCGCGAGCGGCTGGGACCTAGAAGTGCCTCGGAACACGCGAGGCTGCAGACGTGGGCTTAACATGAACTGCGCCCATGCTGAACCTACGATTCCGGGTGCTGTTCCCATGTAAACACGGACCTAACTGTCTGTGGGTCAAGGTAATGACGTCTACTACACAGGTCATAGCTGCGGCCTGCCATTCAGAGACACTTGGGCGAACTGGGCCCCTGAGCGTGGGAGGAGCCAGATTGCAGCAGGTGGGGGGTTAATGCCTGACCTGGCCCCGGAGCTGCCCTTCCGCCCGTCACCCGGGCCACACCGGGCCTGACCGGGGCGGTGCTGTTTCAGGAGGACCTGGGCTACGGTCCAGTGCTGGGGCCGTCCGGCGGTGGCCCGCCGCTGGGGCCCCCGGAGAGCAGCTCCTCCATCAACTGGGGCAAGACGCTCAACATGGCGCTGCAGTTCATCATGGGCGCCGCTCAGGCCTTCACTAGCGGCACGCAGATCGAGAAGGTGGACAGCGGGGTGAGTGGACGCGGCGAGCGCGTGTGGACGCTGTGGACCCGCTCCGAGGGCAGGGGCAGGCTGGAGGCAGGGAGGGATCGGCAGGTGTGTGGGCTTCAGTTCCTGTTTCAAAGCGCACCAAGCCTCACGAAGTATCCTGGTTCCGGGTATTTTGTTTTCATTTTTTGAATGCTTCCTGTAGACGATTACCAACAGGTGGGCATGCTCAGGGCGTAAAAAACGTTATCCGGCTGATGTAACCGTTTCCGATAAGTGGAATCGCGGCAAAAAGGCGACCGTATGAGATCTGATAAATGCTCAGAAACCGATGCCACCCGCACAAATCGTGAGAATGCTGCTAGATTCGACCTTAGATCTAGCCTTTATCTGTCTCCTGAGTCCAGCTATGTTGTGGTGCCTCCTCGGTGGCAGTGACGCGGAAGGTGCTAAAACCACCTGCTGCGGAGAGCCAGGATTTCGATGCCCGGAAGTTGAGAGGCGGAGCTCGCACCCCAGGAGACTCACCGCTGGGCCTTAATGGCATGAAAGGAACAGGACCCTCCGTCTGATATATTTAGCCCTCCCGGATAGCTGAAGAGCTTACAAACTCGTACTGTGCCGCCCTCAACGAGTCTGCACAGCTTATCCTTCCGTGTTGCGCAAGGACGCCCACGCTGGTCCGACAGACGAGTTGTGGTGGAGCTCGATCAATGATCTTCTGAATGCAGCATGGGATCAACAGCTATTTTAGTTTTCCGTGGTAGATGATCTTTCCACTTGACGTCTTATGGTAGGTTATTGGCTTATGGCGGTTGTGATGCAGCACATCGGGAAGATTATGCTGACTCACGCTAGAGGGAAGCTCAGATCCAATGCGGTAAATATGACGCAGAGGATTTTCTAGCGTTGGAGTATTCTTAATACGCTTTTAAGTGCGGGAGTGTGATACGTTTTACCGGAAAGCCTGAAGTAAAGGTCAATACCGTTACTCTTTCGCGGTTTCCTGTCTGAAAGAGTTATCATCCGTGTGATGCGGCGGTTAACGCAGCGAGGGAGCGGTGAGCATTTGGGTTGTCTGCAAACTTTATTCGACGGAACTTAAGACGGTTCGACGGAACTTAACTGATGCGATCCACCTCGATCTGGCACATTCAGTGAACATGTCCCACATTGCAAACCTGTGCAACCTCTCTATTGTTCCTTGCAGGCGGAAGGTTTCTCCTGGGCAAAGGTGATCAGCATCGGTATGCAGGTGCTGCTGAACGTACTGGGCGGCGGCTCCGACCCTCAGATCGAAAAGAATGACAATCCCACGCAGAATGCCGTGCAGGTGAGTCTCTGGACATCAAAAACTAGTTACAGCATAGGACAAAAGTGGGCAATTGCTGCACGTTAATTCGTGAAATCATGACCGGCAAAGCAGCATGGAGACGACGATCGTGAAGGCACGACACGACACGCTGTCGCGACATGGCCGGGCTTCGAGGATAGGGCTTACACTTACGCACGGCATAGCTCGATGGATCTCGCACATTAACGAGTATTCATGGCACCGGAACATAGTTCAAAACGCTACCGGCTGCTACAAGAAGCAGCTGCGCTTTTTCTTGTGGCGTGTTTGTCGATCTAAAAGTCTATGAGAGTCGAGAAAATACGTCAAGGAGTCGTAAGCAAACTTGTAATGTCAAGTAATGGGTGTGAGGGTTCTGAATTTTTATTATTATTTACCAGAGCTAATCGCTCCTTATTCTAACAAAAACACTTAGTTCATTAGAACACTATGGATAGATGAGATTTGGCTCCAAATAACCTCCGAGAGCAAGACCATAATACGGCTTGGCAGCTGGCAGAGATAGCAGCCGTATAAAGCAAAGATCCCCCAGCTGCCTCGCGTGAAGTGCAAAGTGGCGGAGCTTCCTTCATGTTGAACGGCCTATAGCGAGTTATTTCTCGCCGTCAACGCCCATGGGGCCGACGATAAGTTTTAAGAATGTATGGGGCGTAGCCCCCCCCCCCCCCACTCACCCGTCCCTCAACACCCCTGTGCCCCCGGGCACACCGCCGTACCGTTACATACGCAGATGTATGCTGCTTCCCACGCATTGGGTTCCCTCACGCTACCTCAGCGTGCAGAACTCCGCAGCAAGACCGGTACTCCCCGACTTCGGACAACGTCTCTCCGTTTCGATAGTGACCAGGCATCGCTGCAAAGTTTCCTCAACAAGCAAATGACGTTTGGCATATGGCGCTTGCGGATTTCGTAAAATAGTATGCAGATGCCCACGGGATCTCCCAAAAATGTTACCCGCTCACTCAGCACAGACACTTCAATCGACAACATCTGTGTTTGACGTTGATCTTGTCAGTGGCATGTGACAGAGACATGTTGGTCATGTCAGTGACATATCGTCGGTACGTTCGTGAACTGAGCCCGTTGCGACTGTTTGCCAACTTCGTGGCAATCAGCGGGTCGTTGGGAGCCAGCAAACACGACGCCGATCTCAAGCCGTCCGCTATTTTCCTCAAACCTCCTGCACTGGGTGCCCTTCGTATCGTGTAGAGCAGGTAAATGGCAAGATCACTGCTGCCTTTCAGGATTCAGGGGATTAACCCGTTGCATAACGGCATCGCGCTGCAGCGTTGTCGGTACGCTGGATACTCATTTACTTCACCTCTGTGTGCTCTGTGGCGTTGTGAACACCTCCGAGTGCCAGTCGGTCGACTGTGACATACCTGCGTGAGTGACCGAGACGGCGCCTGGGCTGGTCATTGCTGTTGATACCCGACATATGTTGTTGATTGCAGCCTGACCCATTTTGATGACTTGAATTGACCCGCATTGTGACCTGCCTTGTGTTGATTACCATGCCGGTGACCTGGATCTGACCTCTACAGGGTGTCCTCGCGACAGTGCTGGGCCTGGCTATGGGTCAGGACGACCCTGCCTCCGTCCAGGTCATGGCCAAACAGGCCACTGAGGTAAGTTTGGTGCCTGCGAGTTGCTAAAAAAAAAAACAGTCGATCTTTCCCTGTCAGCGAAGGTCAAACTCGTCCGTGAAGCGCCGTCATTCACGGTCGCGATTTGTCTCCGTACCTAGATGAATCATCCTCATTATTGTAGCCGGTACAGTCGTCACCCGAAAACTAGGCCGGGGACAGGGATAGGTGTTTGTTACGACATCGTGCAATGTGTAAACATAAGCGCATAGTGCTTCCGGCATTTCCACCGCAAGTAAAATGCGCACATGCCTTTACATTGCGTATACATATGTCTTTACATCACACTCCTGACATATTTAATTGACGACCTATGTATTTGGTTGCACATCACGTCCATTAGCTCTCCTCAGCATGCCTTCCGTTGTCGTCACGTTGACTCAGTGAATACAGAGAGACCGTTTTTGGACGTCTGATTGCTGCAATCTCCCCACCAGTTCTTTGATTGGACGCTCTACTTTAAGCTGTATCAGTTCTCCACATTGCGTTATTACCCAACTAATAACTTGAATGACTGCTTACGTGTCTTTCTGCCTCTCTTGCAAGGTTCCTATCTACGATCCTGTGCCTCACGTGTCTGCTGCGTAAGACGTGCTTACACGCCTCTGATCTGAAGTCAACATCCTCACTCTTCCGCAGCTGTTCAGCGTCGTTATGAACCTGGTGGAGGCGCTGAAGACGTCCTTCAGCGAGCGTTCGCTGCACGCCCGCTCGCTGGGCCAGACGGACTACACTGCTGACGCTGGTATAACGGCCATCACCATGCTGGAGGTAAGGCCGCCCGTGCTGCAGTCGTCGTCCTCAACACTGCATCAGCGGCGGTGCGAATTCGGTGGGTTTCACGACTCATAAGTCCGGGTTCCCAGCGATTGAGCCTGAATCAGAGTGCAAAGCTGTAGAGAGTATGTCTTGCTTCACAAATCTGTGCACTGAATATTTCAGTTTTTGGGATACAAAAAGGCAAACCTGTATAAAGAATCAAATCTGTTTGTGGCGACCAGCCAAATTGGTAATGAAACTTACTGAATGGTGTACAGACGCTTGGAGCGGGTATGAAGGTTTGCTGAGCATTTTGCTGAGCGGGTCTCGCTGAGCTGAGTTTTTCATTTGAGTTTCCATCCTATCAGGTTTGCGTAACGTAGGCCAACGTAATATTGACAGAATGGAAACTCGAATGATCATCAAGGTTGAGTGATCACTTCGATTCCGGTCATAGGCTTCTAGACCCCCGAGTCCGAATTCGAGTTCTGGTGTTTCAGGCCTGAGTTGGAACTGAGCTTGGAATTGCTTGTTTGTTATTGACGAGTGTGAGCCCTATCCCAACTAATTTGAATTCAAGCACCAAAAGGACGTGAGTCACAGTGCGAGTCTTGAGTTTGAGTCCGACCTTATTCCAGTCTGAGACAAACCTGACCCGTAGCAAGTTTCACACCCCCTTCTCCCATTCTACCACCAAGCCAAAGCGTCCAAGTGTCCCCACTTCTCAGCCCATCGTGACCTCTCCTCTTCGCGCCACCTGCTCCGCCCACGTGTCACTTTGGCACGCTGCCAGCTCAGCCGGTCGTCGCCCTGCCCCGGTGACCGACTGACCCGGGTCTTTGCCCACAGGGTGTGGCGCGGCATGCACTGGTCGGGGATGATGTCTGTGGCCTCAAGTCCATGTGCGTCGCCAACAGAGATTGCATGGCCAAGACGAAAGACGGCGAACTTTTCTGCAGGATTGGATCGTAAGTGCTAACTGACTCATCTGAGTTTGGATCTTACGTTTGGTGCTGACCGAATCCGACAGGCATGAAAATATCCTCACCTCACTGACCTGAATGCAGAAAGCGGCATCTAGCAAATGCTCGAGGTTTTCCAAAGACTAACACGAGGCGGCATCAAGTATGAATAGGTTCCATATTTCAGCTCATATTTCACCCCATTCAAATCTCGCGTCACTTCCTGGTGAGAGCCAGCACGGGCGGCGCTGCGGCCCGTGAGGCGTGCGCCGTCGCTTGGCGTCAGCCTCCCGTGACGCGCAGCCTGCTCCTGACCAACAGCGCGCGATGCTCCGCTGGTTTGGCGTCAGTTTTTGCCGGTGCCCGGGAGCGCTGTGAAAGCGTCATGGGTCCGGGACGTCGCGTGGCGGGCGGCGCGCGCCGCGCTGCCGCCGGCGGGAGCGCGCTCGATAGGGCGCGCTCAAGTCGAGACTGGGCCGCTTTCACCGGATCGCCCCGCTCTGCAAGGGACTCTGCGCACCGGGATGTGCCCCCAATCGGCCTGGGTGGGCGACAAAGAGCCACATCTCGATGATGATGGGCTTGATAAACAGCCGACTTTTGCGAGTAAACGTTTGGGAATTTTCCCGTTATCAACCGTGTTGGTAGTCAGTGTGAGCGTCCGCGTACCATGTGACGCCATTTTCATCGAATGAAGTTCACGTGACGTGTGCACCGAACAGGATTCATGATAAACGGCATGAAACCCACTTTCTCCCTGAATCATTTCAGCCGCCGGGCCCACGTTCGGTAAACAAATTCCTCTCCTTCAGTGCCGCCCCTCCCGGGAAGTCGACTGACGTACGCACGCATTACTTGGCAGGTACGCCGCTTCTTACATCACACCCCGCACTCTACCGATGGAGGTGTTCGGAGAAGCAGCCAGGCAAGGCCGCACCGGGGCTGACTGCGACGTCGTCTACAGCCAGTGCAACCTCATCTAGCCAGTAGCGTCCTCTATACCCATTGAACGATGCACTGGCGACATCTGCGGTGTGCTCCAACGGTGGGATGAGGAAAAAGCCGCTGGTAGACGCGGCTCCGATGCTGGGGATGCGGGAACGGTGCAATACGCCCAGGTGTCTGTGGCTGCCCGTTAGTAACTTTTCCTGATTGGTCGCTTTTTCTTTTGGTACTGAGGCAATCGAGCAAAAAACTGTTCTAAATAGGTTTTTCGTTTCAACTACCTTTAGACTGATAATCACACAAGGCGGTGGCATTCCCTGTGGTCCCCTGCTTTATTTATTTTATATAATCTTGGAAAGTGCCTGACCGAGGAATAGCACACAGATTTGGCCGAGATTCTTCACTTTACCTTTGCACTTCGTAGTTATTGTTCAACGCTTGTAACACCATTCACCACTCAGCTGCCTGGTTCGTCGCCACTGTATGCTACTCGTTGGCCGGCCCCACGTATCTGCTCATGCGCACGTTTCTGAGCTCACCAAGTCCCACGTCTCCACTTTAGCAGACTCCTGCCTCTCACGTCTCGCCTCTCTTTGGCTGCGCCTGCGTATTGCATTCCAAGCCCTGGGACATTGCGCGCGACCTATTTCGTTGTTGGTATTCGTTTTAAATAGGCCGCGCCCGATATCCCATGGCGGTCAAGCTGCGCACCGTTGAATGACTCTCCCGAGCGGCGTCCAATAACACCCCCGGGCGTCGTTCGCTAAGCTCCGGGATGTCGTTGAAAGATTCTCCCGAGCTTTATTGAATGATGCCCCCGAGCGTTGTTGAGTGGTGCTCCCGAGCGTCGTTGAATGATGTTCCCGAGCGTTGTTGAGAACCGCTGCCGAGCGCCGTCGAGTGTCGTCCGAAATCGTTGTTGTTGTTAGCTGCTGCCGGGCTCAGTCTCGCCAATAGGTGATGTACAGTTACCACTCAGGAGCGGCGAGGGCGCGCCCCTGTCGCCCCTGACGGGCCGTCCCGTCACCTGTCAGGCCCCTTCCGGGCCCCTGTCGGCATCCGCGGAGGACCTTGCGACACCGAACTTGTTAGAGTCTGCATACGCTGCGTAAGTTCGGCTTGACGCAAGCCGGGTTGCACTCATCCATCGTATCGTCTGTTAGTTGTTTATTTATGCTGCGCGGTGCGTGTTGATCGTTTACTCATGTGTTGTTGGCGGGGAGAGTAGTATCATTAATGTTACACGTGTAAAGGCATATGCACCCTTCTGGCGGCTAGTCCAGTGGGAGGGGAGAAAGCGTTAACACCAGTAGATGTACCAATAGAGATGGCACGTCATGTGATGTTGGTACACGGCAGGCTTTGTTAAATAAATAGTACAACGGTTGTTGTCGAATTCCCAGCCTGAGGGATCAGATGGTGTGAAATTGGTGAGAGTCATTTGCAAAATGAAGACTACTGCAACGTTGACATGTGATGATAAAACTTCAGACAGAATCACTGACAAAATGAATGCCCTTTCCCCGACTGCGTGTTCATGAATTTCACAACGTTGCTCATGCGTCCATGTATAAATAATTGGTAAAACGTAGACTGTGAAAGGTGGCCATGTGAACATAGCACGAATGTCTGTAACACAAATGTTTTAATTTTTTTCTGGAAATTTTGACCGAACATTTTGAACGTCTAGAGATCAGGGTCGTCATTTAATAGCGTCTCAGGGGCCGTGAAGTTCCTACCCCGACGGGCAAATTACACTTCAAAGTGTAATTCAGCGGAGATCCCAATGTGCCACGTAGTTATGTGCATGCCACTTCCGCCCGACACCAGCCTTGCTCCTCTCCCAACCGTGAGTTGGTCGCCATTGACGATTCATATGAGCGTGACTTCCGGACCACGGAAACATGTATCTACCCCACAACGGACCAGCGAGCCTCAAATTCCCTGATTTGAACTACCCGGACGACAAGTTTGTTTCGTATCATTGGCCAACTCAGCGTAATATATCCGAGCCTTGTCGTTCACGTACGTGGTTGTTAACCACTGCCCATCAGCGTCCCAGTGTTAGTTTTGTTGACTGGCTTCTCGTTGATTAGGCGATATGGAAAATGCTACGTTCTTGTGGAAGAACCACATGACACTGTGGACAGAAAATTCCCTGCACAACTTGAAATAACACGATCGACAACATCCTCTCCCTCGTGGACGTATGATGCTCCACAGAACTGCATCGCCTCCCGGTGCGGCTGGAGGCAGCAGTCTCCTTCAAGTTGACTGTCCTGCTGTGTGTCGGTGCGGATCGCCGACTCCTGCGCGGACTGTCATCGGTTGACTGTCCTGCTGTGTGTCGGTGCGGATCGCCAACTCCTGCGCGGACTGTCATCGGTTGACTGTCCTGCTGTGTGTCGGTGCAGATCGCCAACTCCTGCGCGGACTGTCATCGGTCGACTGTCCTGCTGTGTGTCGGTGCAGATCGCCGACTCCTGCGCGGACTGTCATCGGTCGACTGTCCTGCTGTGTGTCGGTGCGGATCGCCGACTCCTACGCGGACTGTCATCGGTTGACTGTCCTGCTGTGTGTCGGTGCAGATCGCCAACTCCTGCGCGGACTGTCATCGGTTGACTGTCCTGCTGTGTGTCGGTGCGGATCGCCAACTCCTGCGCGGACTGTCATCGGTCGACTGTCCTGCTGTGTGTCGGTGCGGATCGCCAACTCCTGCGCGGACTGTCATCGGTTGACTGTCCTGCTGTGTGTCGGTGCGGATCGCCGACTCCTGCGCGGACTGTCATCGGTTGACTGTCCTGCTGTGTGTCGGTGCAGATCGCCGACTCCTGCGCGGACTGTCATCGGTTGACTGTCCTGCTGTGTGTCGGTGCGGATCGCCGACTCCTGCGCGGACTGTCATCGCCCGCGTCCGTCTGTCTCCGTCTGGATACACAGCCGGTGTGGTGCTCATGTCCCCAAGCGAAGCGATCGGTGTTGGGCCCGTCTCCGACCAACACCAGGTCGAGTGCGCAGACTTCAAACTGGCAACTTCCCTCGCATGTGTAAAATCGATGCGAATCCAGCGTTTCCGAAGGGAGTCGTGGTCTGTTCTCGGTAACGTATTCCGTGGATCAGCGCCGTGCTCTTCTGGTCCGAGACTTCTGATGTAGTGTCGGGCAGCTACGGAAATCTGACGGGCGCCGCTGTTGCAGATCACGAGAGTCATCGTTGACTGGCGTTTAGTGGCCGCGCGTCCAGCCTCAGCTTCCACCCTACACAGCTTAGCTCGAAACTCCGCCTGCGGGCCTCCCCACCGCAAGGCAGAATGCGGCTTGTATACGTTCACCCAAGCCCTCCTTAACTCTACCCGGCCGTGGAGCCCGCTCCCAGAGAAGCCTCCAGGAGATTTTGTCATGGGTGACCTGCGCTGCCGCTCACCTGACATTTGCGGCACTGACAGTGCAAACATGCTGTGGTTTTCCCGGCCGTGCGGTCCGTGCGGTCCGGTCGATAAACCTGACATGAGTCATCTGCTGACGGTGGGGAACAGCTCACGGTGCGCCGATTTGTGTAAAACATCGTGAAAGTGGCGAAACACAGCTTCGTGTCACCTGTTCAGGTGGTGCACTGCGGATGCACGGCACATAGGAAAAGCTGTTGCCGTTGGATTAAATGCAGGGGCGTGAAAAAACTCGCGTCCCGGTCATTTTTTCAGGCAGATGCTGACGTTTACTGTTACGGCCCATTCTGAATCTTTGTCGGATGATGCTTAGCATATGAAGCACCCCGGCGTCGTGTAAGTCCAAGTGATCACAATGCTATCACCGAATCAACAAGTCGTTTTCTGGGAAGGCATAATGGGATGTTTCTCGCCATGCAATAGATCACTGGCCTCCTGCATGCGTCCTCAGTTTACCAGGATCAAGTCACGCCGAGCAGAAGACAACAATGCTATCTTCCAGCTTGAACAAACATTTTCTTCCGTCTTCAGACAACCATTCTCCCGGTTGTGCACGAGAACTCACTGGAACGCATCTAAGTCATGTCATTTCAGCAGCACAAGATCAATTGAGCTTAGGAGACCACTGTACCGTGCTTTCTTTCTTTTCATAACTACGAATGACATGACCTGGTGGCTACGCCCAGAAATCGCTTCAATATAGGTGCTGCAACTATTCACGCTCACAGTGCGACTACTGGATCCATCATTTCGGGCGGACGGGGCTGCTGTCGCGGTTTGTCCGCGACAGCAGCCTGGATTCCGCCCTGGATTCTGCTGGCAGGGAGGCCACGGATTGCGCTCGGAAGTTGGCTCAGCCATGGTGGGTCGAGCCACGGGCTCCGGTGATGGTGAGTGCGGGCAGCGCAATGGCACGTAGAATTAGCGGAATTCTCCTGTCCCGTGCAGTAGTTCCAAGGGCATCAGATGAGCAATGCCCTCATTCCACTGAGACAGACAGACATTCCACACATACGAGACATGTCTGGTCCCAATCCTTGCAGCGACGAGCTCAAGCCGGGGCAGAAAGACCCTAGAGCTGGAAGGAGGACGTGACTTGTGCATCACCTGCCAGCACTGTAGGCAGCTCCTAGCCCTATTCTGACGTGAGCAATCGCAGAGCGTGCTTTCCATCTTGCATCGCAAAGCATCGCCAGCCTGCATTAGCATCAGCATCAGCATCACATCGGCCGTTTTTGCATGTCATCACACATTTCATATGGAATGGGCTCGTCGCACCCAAACCCGGTCGGCACAAGGACTTCGAAACCAAAAGCCAAAGAGGTTTGCTGCTGCTCACAGCATTCATCGCTTCGTTTCATTGCTCTGTGCTATGATGGCCGATCCGTCGCCGATGAACGTCAGGACATGTTCCTCCGGTGTTAGCGCAGTCAGGACACAGTCTCATCACCGAGCTGAAGAATGCTAGTCCATTTTGACGACTAGATTGCTTTAGTTAACTAGATTAGGTTTTTCAGTCATAACAATGAATTCAAAGGATCCGGAGAAAGCTTATCCAGAAAAAACTAGCCAGTGGGCAAACAACACAGCAGTCAAGAGTCAAAATCAGAGTAAAAAACTAGTCAATGGAGTGAGCTCATCTAAAACGACTTTTTAAATTCCCACCCTGGTTATCAAATTTCTCCTCCAGATGTTTTGCAGCGAAGTAGCTGATGCAGGTCCTCATCCTCCCTAACATTTCCACATATTTTCTGATAGTGATCTGAAGCAGGAACGACAAGGCGCTTACCAGAAAGATCAACCGCGTTATCTTGTATGACGCGGAGCGTAAATTGTCTGGTTGTTAGCGCCAGTTAGACGCCCCGTGTGACAGGGAGGGGGGGGGGGGCAGGCAGAGCAACAACAGATATGAGATCTGTCAGCTACAGACAGAGCAACAGTGGATATGAGGTCTGTCGGCTGCAAGCATGCACGCGGTGCCAGAGACTAAGCTGACCGAGCCCGATGACTTCGAAAACCGATGCCACTGCGCTT